TCAGGAGAACGGAAGGAGAGAGGGCGAGGAGGCGAGAGCCCGAGGAGGCGAGACAGACAAGAGAAGAAAGAAGCAACCAGAGGGGAAATGGAGGAAGAGACACAAGAGGGAGGCAGATGGCCTTAAAATCAAGAGGACAAGGGCTCGAAGGGAAAGAAGGTGGAGGAGTGAGAGAGAGAGGAAGGGGAGGAGAGGAGGGAGAGGAAGGGAACCTGAGGGGAGAGAGGGGAGGAGAGGGGAGGCCACCAGAGAGGAGAGCAGGGAAGGGGACAGGGAGGCGGGTGGGTGGGGTCTGAGTCCTGGGGTCAGCCCGTTCACGGCGCCCTGGCAGCTCCTGGGCAGTGCACGGGTCATCTTGGATCACAGCTCATTTAGCACTTCCTGTTTTCAGCTTGTCTCTGCGAGCCCTTGGAGGGGTTTCAGCCAGTAAATAACGCACAGTGCCAAGACTGCCTGCCTGGCCGGCCGCCCTTCCCACCCTCACGCCGCCTCCCCTGCCCTCTCACCCCACCACCCTCCCCGGCCTGAGGACCAGCCCAGGGTCCCCTCCAGCGCCCACCCACCCAGGCTCCAGACCCCCTGCCCCCTTCTCCGGGGTCCCAGACCTCGTCAGGTTCCCAGGGACGCATGATGGCAGCGGAACCCTCTGCGAGCCCAGCAGCAGCCCATTCGCCTTGTAAAAGACGTTTCCCGAAAAACAGTTTCTTTGCCTGTTTCTGAGCTCCCGTGTTCTCTCTTCCATTCCCTGCTGCCCTCCAAGTTCCAGGCACGTCCTCCTCCGGCCTCCTTAGCCTCGACCCGGCAAACAGGTGCTGGGCGTCGGCAGCGCGCCAGGCAGTCAGTGCCGCAAGCCTCGCTGTCTGTCCTGGAGAAGCTCACAGCCGACGGGGGCAGGACGCCGCGGGTCCAGGAGGGGAGCTGGGTTTTACGCAGCCCGGGAGGTGCAGAACCTGAGAGGCCCCTGTAAGGAAAGGAACAGGAAATTGCTAGGACCCGTGGCCAGGGCCTCTCCGGAGGCTTCGAAAGGGCCGCTGTGAGGGAGACCTGGGTAACTCGCTCCCTGTTGGAGAAGGTGGCATGGACCCTCGTCCCAGACCTCCCAGCTGAGACAGGACGGGAGTGTTCCCAAGACAGGCCGGGCTCGCTGCTGCTTCCCTGAACCACCAGGTCTACAGTTCCTCTCTCTGCTCTCTTTTGTCTACCCTGCAAAAGAATGTATGATGCAGTCAACAAAAATGTACTTTGGGCTTGGATAATCATTGGGATAGAGTTCAGCTGCCATGACAAAGGCTTAAACTGGCTTAAACAAGCTAGAACTTGCTTTCTCACCCAGCAGTCTAGGCAGAGGCAGCCCGGGGCTGGTACGGAACCACCTCGGTTTCAAGGACTCGGGCTCCTTCCGTCGTGTTGGTCACCTGCCCCTGCTGTGTTGTGCTTGGCCACGTTCCAGCCGGGGGGAAGAGGGCAGGGGGGGGAGGGGGGGGAGTGGGTGTGGGTCTCAGTCCACACCCGCCGAGATCCAATGGTGGGTCCTGGACCGTGGAGCACCCCCTTCGCTTTAACACTGTTGCCTGGAAGTCCATGCCCTCTCCTGCTCACATCCTGTTGGCCAAATGCAGTCACATCGCCATCCGAAGATGCCAGGGGGAGGGGGCTGTCAAGTTCATTCTGGGTGGTCGTGTGCCCCCCAAGTCAGAGTGCATCACAGCTGTAGAAAGAGGGGAGAATGATGCCAGGGCCTGTGCTGTCTAGGAAACCAAGGTGCAGCAGAAGTTCTGGCTCTTTCCAAAGCCGCCAGGGAAACAGCATTGTGGATCAGACAAGCTGTCCCTGCAAGCTCTCACCCCATTTTTTTCATTTTGGTCACTCCAACCCCCTCTACCTTACCCCAAGTGTTGGCTGAGGGTGAAAGCCCAAGACTATCAAAGGGGCAGAGGAGGCAAAAAAAAAAGACTGTGAAGAAGTTTCCAGAAAGAAAGGGAAAGAGCTGAAATAGAATAGTGGTCTGGAAACTAAATTTCAAAACCTTACCAGTTTCTGATGCTGCTGAGTGCCAAGACAGGACGGGGACCCGAGGAACCCTGTGGGCTTCCCCAGCGAGGAGGCCAAGGGGGACCTCTTCCAAATCAGCTTCCATGGGATGGTGGGGAGTGAAACCTGAAGAGCGTGGGCTTAGGTGCAAGTGGGAAATGAGGACGCAGACACAGAGGGTGGTGAGCGACTGAGCCTCTGAAGAGCAGGAACATTTTGAGAAGAATGGTGGGTCCTTGATCTTGTTAGTCCAAAAGATAAAGAATCAATGAAAAGGAAGAGACTGAAAATACATAGCAGAGACACAGTTAGGCTGCAATAACAAAGACCCAGGTAAAAGTGGCTGAAGCAAGATTAAGGTTTCTTTCTCTCATGTAAGAGTCTGAGCGTACAGTCAAGGGCTGATGGGGCCCCGCAGTGTTCAGGATCCAGGTTCCCTCCATCACTCTAGACTCAGCCATCCTCAACCTGCGGCTCCTGTTTCATGGCCCAAGATGGTTGCTCCTGCTCACACCATCGTGTCCACATCCCAGCCAGAGGGAAGAAGGAAAAGGGAAAGATCCCCTTTATCTTCAGGGCAACGCCCCCAGAGGGTTTCTCACATCACGACTACTCACTTTGCATTGGCCAGAACTTGGAGACTTGGTCACATCTACCTGTAAAGGAGGCTGGAGTGAAGGAATCTCTGGCTGAGGAGAGCAGGTGTCCCTAAAATTTACGGGTCCTATTGCTAAAGGAAGTGGGGACAGCGAGCGGTCAGAGCCTTAGCAGACCTAGAACAAAGGGAGGAGGCGCACTGCGGCCACTGGGAGGAAGAAGTGGAGATCTGGGGGGGTTGCAAAGGGACGGGAAATAGGGAACTCTCGCAGGGTCACGTCATTTTCTCTGCGAGGTGGAACTCAGAGTCCTCACTGAGAGGCTGGGGCTCGCCAAGAGCTGGGAAGAGGGGCGGCTTCCCAAGCCCCCCTCCGGGTCCCTGTTCTCCAAGGAAGAACAACAGGGGTGCCCTGCAGGTGCCCCGAGGGGTTCCCGGAAAGGCTGTGCCCTGGGGCCCCGGAGCTGCGTGCCCAGCTCTGCGCCTAGCTGCTCTGTGGCCTTGCACAAGTCAAGGAGTTTCAGGTTCCACGTCTGTTAAGTGACCTCGCTAATGCCCTGCCTGCCTGCTCGCCGTCCTGTTGGGCCCCACCGAGAACAGTGAGGACCGGGTGTCGGGGGTGCCGGGGGCACAAATGTGTGGGCGCCCTCGTGCAGGGAGGGCGTCGTCAGTGCTGAGACGTGAAGGACAGATGACAGAGGGGGGAGGGAGGTCACCAGACATGAGAACCGGGAGGGTGCGGCCCCGAGGACCAACTCCACCCGGACCAGCCCGGCCCCGCCGAGGGGATCCGGCCCCTGCCCGCCCCTGGGCCAGCGTCAGAACTCCTCTGCGGCCTGGGCGTTGGTGACAGGGGAGCCCGCAGGGGCCCACGGCCAGCGGGAGGGAGCAGGGGCCGCCCACGCAGCTGGGGTCGGCCTCTGCCCATCTCGAGAGCACTGTCCCAGAGCCCGGCCCTGGGGCTCTCCTGCGACCTCTCCCCACCCCGGGACACCAGCCCCCGTCCCTGGCCTCCGCGCGGTGAACAGTGTGACTTTCTCCCCAGGCCTTTGGCCTAGCGAAGCTCCAGTGCACACCTGCACACGCACACACCCCACACGCACACGCGGGCACCACACACTACACACCACACGAGCACGCGCGGCACGTCACACACAGCTAAGACACCACATGTATACCAAACACTACACACATACACACCACACACGTACATACCACACACGCCACACACTGTACACCACACACACATATACACAGCTAAGACACCACATGTATACCAAACACTACACACATACACACCACACACGTACATACCACACACGCCACACACTGTACACCACACACACATATACCACACACTACACACATACACACCACACACGTACATACCACACACGCCACACACCGTACACCACACACATACCACATGCTACACACATACACACAACACAAGTACATACCACACATGCCACACACCATACACCACACACATATACCACACACTACACACATACACACCACACACACGTACCACACACGCCACACACTGTACACCACACACATACCACACACTACACACATACACACCACATAAGTACATACCACACACGCCACACACTGTACACCACATACACATACCACATAAACACACAAAACATATACCACATACACAACATACACATTAAACACATGCAAACACACCACACACTACACACACACACACACACACACACACACACTCTCCGTTCTCTCTAACCAGCCTCTCCGTGTCCCACACCACACCCTCCATTGAATCCTCTACACAACTGCCTGAGTGGTTCTTCTGAAACACAAATTAAGCCACTTTCTCATTTAAACTCCTCTCCCTCTTCCAGTGGCTTTCCAGAACATTCAGGCTAAAATCCCAGCCCCTTCCCAGAGCCGTTGTGGCCGTCCATGATCTGCTTGGTGACGGCCCGTCCCGAGGCCCTCAGCCAGTCTGCACCACCGCCCTGCCCCACCGCCCGGTCCCACCGCCCTGCCCCACCGCCCTGCCCCACCGCCCGGCCCCAGCCCCAGCCTCTGTGTGGCCGCCCTCCTCTGCGACAGCCGCCCGGGGCTGGCCCCAGCCTCGAACCCGTCCGTTCCTCCAAACCCCGTTCAGAGCGCATCTTGTCTGCAATCGCTTCTCCACTAGCCAAGGGGGCTCGCTCCCTTCCTCTTGCCTGCCTTGTGCGGTGTGCAGGGGGGGATGTGTCTGCTGTCCCTGTCTCTGCAGCTAGCAGGTGACCTTCCCAAAAGTGTCCATCTCTGTATACGTGAAGCACGCAGCCCTGGCACGGGGTAGGCTGTGAAGCTGGGTGGGGAGCGCTCACCCCCTCTTCCTCCCACGCAGATCAAAGTGGAAAACCAGCACGACTACCAGGACATCACCAGCGTGGTGGCCATGGCCAAAACCTACGCCACCACTGAGGCCTTCATCGACTCCAAGTACGACATCCGCATCCAGAAAATCGGATCCAACTACAAGGCCTACATGTGAGTCCCCGGGGCAGGGGCGGGCGGGACGGAGATCGGAGATGCAGGTCCAGCTGCTCTCTGCTCTCTCCCCCGCCCACGGGCAGTGAGCTCCCTCCGCACATCATTAGTCTCCCTCTCGGTCTCCTTACTGCCTTCTCGCATGTTCTGTCACGGCTTGCCCCAGGCCAGATACCTGTCTACCAAACAGGGTGTTTCCCCCAGAGAAAGAAAGGCGCTTGCATGTTTGGGGAAACTGCAAATGTGCACAGGACGCATGTCTTAGCAGTCAAGACCCGAAGAGAAATCTGGGGACAAAGCAAGGAGGGCTCTGAATGCCTTGCTGAGAGGGTGCGGAGTTTCTTCTGTTCTCTTCTGAGCAGAGAAGTGGCGTGATCCGCTCTGAATTTATAAAAGACACCTCTGGGGCTGTAGGCTGCAGAGGGATTTCTCTGGAGCCAATGAGACCAGTTAGGAAGCTACATCAGATTTCTCCGGCTGCAAGCAACAGAAAGCACGTCTGATTAATTTAATGGTTTTTTAAAGGGAATTTATCAGAAAACTATGGTTGATCAGAAACTTAAAAAAAAACAACAACAAATCACTACCTCTCCCACACACACCCTAAATTGTCAATTAAAAAAAAAAAATGTTAGGATACAGGTACAGGGCAGCCCCAGGAATCTGAGTAGCCAAAAATAACAATAAACGATCTTCATGGCACCGTCACTGGTGAAAGGGTCTGCCCTCATCATTTTCAGCGCTTAACTCGCGATTGTGACTCCAGGAAACAGTGCTGATTAGTCCAACTTTGGCCACGTGCTTACTGGTTCGAGAAGGGCAGAAAACCGGCGTGGAGAGTCCCACTAGGAAGACAGGCTCACTGCTGGGTGGAAACAGAGGCGCTGCATCTAAAGGAAAAGGAATGAACGCAAGGGATGGAGGGAGGGGGAGGAAGGCCCACCTTCGCCCTAGAGGTGGATCAGCACAGGACAGATTACACCAGGGCTGGGTGACAAGGACGAGTGGGAGTTCTGGAAGAGGTGGAAGGCCTTGCTGTTTGCAGGCGTCTCGTCTGCTCCAAGGCCTCTCTGTCTCTCCCTTTGGAATGTTGTTGATGATGAGGCCCCAGAGGGCCACCGGTTGCCTGGCCGCCAGGAATTTAGGGAGCACTGACCGTGCGCGGGGCTCCCCGTGTGAGGACTGCCGTGGCTACCCCGCTCAGTGGGAAGGTCTCTCTGTGTGGGGCAGCTTGTGTTCTAGGACAGGATTGGCAAACCGCAGCCGCAGGCCAAACCCAGCTGCCACCTGTTTCTGTAAATAGAGTTTTGCTGATCCCAGCGGTGCACATCCGTGTGTGTGCTGCCTCTGGCTACTTTTGCACTGCCCATATTGCCTGGGCCAGAGGTCAGCAAACTTTTTCTGTAAGGACCAGATGGTCATTTTAGGCTTGATGGGCCATGCAGTCTCTGTTGCGGCCACTGTACTCTCTGCCGCTGGCCTGAGAAGCTGCAGGACGCGCAGGCGGTTGACCTAGAAGGAAATACTCCCAGGAAAGGGATGGAGCCAGTCCTCAAGGGACAGCTCTGCCCGTCTTATCAATCACCCTCTTCCTCCCAGGAGCCCACCGACCCATCACTACTCTCAGATGCCCCCGTGGTGATAAGATCGCCTCCTCCCTGCCCACTCCAGTGCGTTCCTGAGGCCCCCACCGTCCATCGTGATATCATTTCCCTCCTCCCTTCATTGTTCAAGTCCCACTTGACATTGCCGACACCTTGTCCCAGTTTCTTTTCTTGAGGATTACCTCATTGCTGCATTCTTTATGCTGAGCTCTCTGGCCTGACAGCTCCAGCTTGTCATTAGTTATGGAGTTTCCTGGACCCGGGGTTGGCCCGCATCCAAGGGAGGGGTTTTGTGTCTGACCTCACAGTAGAATGTCCCCGACACTCAACCTCCTCCCTGCCCTGCACTCAGGACTTTGTGCTTGCTGCCACTGGGGTGTCATTCTTACTAGGTCCTGGCAGACACATCAAAGAAATACGTGTGCATATCCTTACCCATGTGCACACACATACCCATAATTATTTCTGTACATATATCCATCCATTTCTATATGAAGCTAAACAGACTCATACTGATGTCTCTGACTTCATGCAGTACCACGTGTTCACTTCATGCAGTACCACGTGTTTCCTCCCACTCCAACAGAGGAAAATCTGGCTCCCCCATCCGTCGTCCATTAACTTCCCTGTTCCATCTCAGTATGTGTGCACAGTTTCACAACTGTTAACCGCAGCCCTGGGAAGCAACTTCACCAACTACAGCACGTTGCTCCTGTACCATTCCTTAGTGTTTAGTTGTACAGTCTCCACTCATGTCCAGAGTTAGTTAGGTCAACACCTTTCCCCCACCCACTTCAATGAGGGCATCCCCCACCCTTGTGCTATGGCCTGAATGTTTGTGTCCCCCAGAAATGCATATATTGAAATCCTAACCCTCAAGATGATGGTATTAGCAGGTAGGGCCTTTGGGGGGTGATTAGAGTATGAGGGTAGAGTCCTCATGAATGGGATTCGTGCTTTCATAAAAGAGGCCCCAGAGAGCTCCCTTGTCCGTTCCACCATGTGAGGACGCAGCAAGAAGGCACCATCTGTGAACCAGAAAGCAGGCTCTCAACAGACACCAAATCTGCCAGAACCTTGATCTTGGACTTCCCAGCCTCCAGAACTGTGACAAATAAATTTCTGTTGTGTTTAAGCCCCCTAGTCTATGGAATTTTGTTATGGCAGTCCAAAGACAACTTGTAATACAGGTAGATACTTTTGTCACAGTCTACATTCCATCCAACAGTCCAGTGGCTCCATTACTCATGGAACAAGGGACCCACTTCCCCACACATGTGATGGGCTCAATGGCTCTGCCATGGACAGTCATGTTTAAGAGCGTGGAGTTTGTAAGACGTGGTTGAGTGGCTCCTGCCACTGAGTGGGGATTATAATAATAACAATAATGCCTGTCTCATTGTGAGGCTAGAATCAGCCAACACTTACAAAGTCCTCAGACCCATGTCTCGGACATAGACAGCACTCATTAAATATCAGCCCTCACTCTCATGATTCCCTCGGAAGGAAGGCAATGTGGTTTGTGCTCCTGCTGCTTCTACTCCTGGAACACTTTCTTTCCTTGCCTCTACTTACTGCAAACAACAGCAGCACTGACTGCTCAGAGATTACAGGAATATTTACTTTAATCCACACGATACCCTGTAAGGATGGTACTATGACTATTCCCATTCACCAATGAGGAAATAGACTTAGAGACATTGCCCATGGGTACATAGCTAAAAAATACTGGGACCAAGATTCAAACTCACATCTGTCGGACTCAAGTCAGCTCTTACCTTCTCTCGCCATAATACAGAACCCACTATACTGAATCCTACTGTCCTCCAAGCCACGTCTCAGTGGCTTCCTTCTGGGGTCACATTACATGACTCCGGTTACTCCTTTGCTTCCCAGAGCTCATCACTCCTCATGTCTGCTGCTAGCCCTACCATGCCTGCAGCCTGGTCTTAGCCTAGTCCGCCCTTCTGGGTGGTGAGCAGCCTGAGCAGGGGGTCATCTCTGCACGCTTGGACTAGTCCAGTACCCAGGACCTAGGCTGGCCCTGTGAAAATTTGCCAAATCGAATTGAATTGAGTTGAGCTGAACCGAACTAGACTGAACCGACATAGAGCTTATCAGTGGCGCTGCACCCCTTAATCATTATGGCTCTGAATGGCCATAAATGCTAAATTCTCAGCATTTAGACATTTGATTTTCTCTTTTAGAAGGACATATTTTTGGGTCAGTTTCTCTCCCCAGTTCACCCTTTGACCTCAACCACATACCTGCCCTTGACCTTAAGACAAATAGCTTTGCCTCCACCACTTTGTTTAAACTCATTCAGTCTTTGCCAAGTCCAGATGTGCCACTGGGGACAGTTTGCTGGACTTTCCCCCGACATACACAGCCCCCACCCAGGGGGTAGAGGCTGGGCACCCATTACATGCCGGGTCCCACTGGACACTGGGTGTACAGGGGACGAGTCAGACATGGCCCTACCCCGAGTTTCCCGTCATCGGGGAAGGGCGGACACTGAGGAAGTCCTTACAGCTGAGAAGCATCACACTACTGACCTTCTCCGCCAGGTGTAGTGCAGGCGTCCCCTCCTGTTGGGAAGGTGGGCTGTCGGGGAGTCACACAGCAGGTGAAACCTGAAGGGTGAGTAGGACTTAGGGAGGCAACGGGGGAGGCAAAGGCTGTGTGGGGCAAAGGGAAGGATGCACGTGGAGGCCACGGCAGGGAAAGAGCCATGGGCAGTAAAGCTCTAGAAGGGAGGTCATTTTTGCTGGAACAGAGAAGGCAAGGGAACTGAGAGGGTGGTCAGGCAGGAAGATGCCAGAAGGCCTTCTCGTTCTTCACCATGGAAAAGTAGCCACTTCTCTCTAAGGATCATTTTTTTCCTACATTTGGGGGCCTTAAAAATTCCAGAACCACTGAGGGCTATGCCGCCCTAGTTCTCAAAAACAGGAGGCCAAGGTTTGGGGGATTTCACCTAATAATATTGGCATTTTTTTCAATTTAATCTTTAAATTTCAAAGATGGCTTAGAAAACAATACATAAGATCCAAAAAATGAATAAGATAATCAGCATGAAGGGAAATAAACAGGAAAATATAGCTGAGGTCAATGTATGTGTCTAAGAATACATGCCATAGTGTGAGGCAGATATTTGAATCGGAGCCTCCTAACAGCCAACGCAAAGAAGGAACACAGATCAGTGACAGAAGCCTTTAATGCCCTCAGTGTATTATTTGTTCTGATACAGGAGAACCTCCATCTCTGGCAACTGGAAGGCCAACACAGGATCTGCCATGCTGGAGCAGGTGGCCATGACAGAGAGGTAAGAGACAAAGGAGGTGTAGGGAGGGGCACTCGCCATGGTGGGAGCTGAGGGAGGAAAGCAACAAAGAGCCCTGCAAAAAAGGCCACCTCACCCTGTGTCCAATGCCTCCCCACTCACAGAGCACTTTTCCAGGCATGATTGCCTTTACTGCCCACGACAATCTACAGGGTAGGTATTAAAATAATCCCACTTTACAGATGGGAGAAGAAAGTTCAGAGAGGGGAAGTGACTTGTCTAGGGTCACAGAGCTGGTTAATGCCAGAGCTAAGTCTATCACCCTGATGTCTCGACTCCAAGTCCAGCGGTCTTTCCGGCCCTGCCTGGCTGCTTCGAAGAGAGCAGGGAGCGCTGGCCAGCCTCCGTGCTCCGACAGCTGCCAGCAAGCGTCCTCGCTAGGGAAGCAGGGTGCTGGAGAGCCCGCTCCTCCCTCAGACTCGCCTCTCTCGGCACCAACAGGGAGAGGCTGACTTCCCAGGAATCACGCGTGTTGCGGGGGTGCACTCTGGGTGCAGGTCCCTCGGGTCTCTCCCCCTTTAGCCACTGCTGTGTGCCAGCTCCCTTGTCAAAAGGCTGAGTCGCCTGGTGTCAGGGCCAGCCACACACGTGCCTTCTTGCCTGCGCGCCAGGGCCCTCTGCCTGCATACATGCAATAATGGTGGACGGAGCGTGGGCTTTGGGGCCAGAAAGCTCTGTTCAGCAAACATTTATTGAGTACCTACTGCACACTGTGTTGTACTGAGCACTAAAGGATGAAAAGATTCCCTTCTTTTCTCTAAGAACTCGGTATCCGTTGCAAGTGTCACAACACACATCAAACTGGTTTGTGCAAAAAGGGGGATTTACTGGCTCGTGTCACTGAAAACTCCAGAGGTACAGGGGCAGGTAGGGCTTTAGGACTCCTTCTCTACCCACCCTGGTTCAGCCTTTTTCTATGTTGGTGTCATTGGAGGAGGATGTCTGAAATGGTGGCCCGTAGAGGCTCCGGGCTTCCATTCTCGCAGCGCCAGCAGAAGGAAGATGTCTCTTTCCCAAGCATTTCAACCAAAGCCTGGAATCGAGCCGTACTTGCTGATTGGCCTGGCTTAGGTCACCTGACCAATCCTCCAACCAATCACTATGGCCCAGGAAGCCGCAGTGCTGTGGTTGGCTAGGCCTGTGTCAGGTCTCCACCCCTTCGGATTGGAGTGGGACCGCCCCCTGCAGCAGCACGCACTCAGTGTGACCTTGGTACGTCAATTAGCAGATGGGAACTTCTGCATGCATGATGACGCCAGTGTCACCCAAGTCAGAGTGCAGTTGTGGGGACTGAATGAGGGATGGAGGTGCAGTAGCTTCTCCAGCCCCAGCCTGAGGCAGAGAGGAGCACCTTCCCTTCCTGTCGACTCCGGGGGCAGCAGCTACCGTCACCCTGGGAACCCACCTGTGCTAGGCAGTGTCATGGAGGTGGTGCTCTCGACCTGGCACACCTGAATCCTATGGCCTGAGTTGGTCACACCCTTCCCCCAGGGACATTTGTGGGACAGTCATGGCCCTCTTTCCATGGCCTTTCCCGAATGTGAGCTGCTCACAGATGTCCCCAGCACCACTGTCTCCCTTGCTCTGCTCAGTCCCGGGCTACATGGGCCGTCCCTGCAGGAACCTGCCAGGGAGTGAGTCTGCTCGGGCCTGGATTTCACTTTCCTTTTTTGCAGCCATGGCCAGGACTCCAGGGCCTGGACAGAGCTCCTCGGTCCCATCCCCACAGGGTCAAAGTCCATATGGGGACCCATAAGCAGACCTCTCCCTCCACCTGGCTCACCTGCCTGCCAGGTAGCCTGACTTCTGGTCAGAACCAATGATGTGGCTTAGTTGGCGCTAGTCCCCCTTGGCTGCAGGGAGCAGGACCCCACTTCCTCCAGCCTTTCCCACACTGTGGCCCGTTCCTGGATTTGGGGTGCCTGTGCCCCATGGGGTACAGCCAGCAGGTGACCCTGAAGTTCATCATTTAAAAATAGCTTCCCAAAACCAATTGCTTCTGGGCCTGGGCCCAGACTTCCACCTTCCATTGAGAAGAAACCTGATTTATGAACGTGTCAGGGCACAGCCGTCCCTGAGCACACGCTGCCCCACAGATCAGCCCTGGGTGCCGAATACGGCAACCTTGGTCCATCAGAGAATCCAGAGGACTCTTACAGTTCCAAGGACCAAAGGTTGTCCCCACATGTGGCTGCACATCAGAACCACATGGGACGCTTTAAAAAAATGGCAGAAATTATTCTAACATGAGTGGAGCCCCCAAATCTGGCTATTTATCTGTGTGTTTGTTTAACCTTCCTGGTGATTCTGATGTACAACCAGGATCAGATCTAGGCCTTCCCATTTTACAGATAGGGAAACTGAGTCTGCAAGAGGGAGAGGCTCCCCAAAATTACTGAGGAATTAACAGCAAGAATTCAGGTCCTGGTCTCCCGTGCTGAGTGAGGAGAGACGGGTGGGATGCACTCAGCATGAGAGGAAGGGGGTTCTGTTGAGATTCTAGAATCAGACAGGATCCTGGTTTAGAAGCCGCACGGTTGTTTATTAATCTCACTGAGTCTCTGTTTCTTCATCGGTGAAATGGGTTAAAACTTTCCTGATAAGCGTTGTGGTGGGATCAGAAAGAATGAAGAGCCAATCCCCCGGCACATAGTAGGCGCTCAGTGGGTGCGAGTTTCATCCTTCCTTTTACGTCTGTGATCTCACGTGCTCCTCACTACAGCTGGATGAGACCATGGACGAGGAGCCGGGAGATCGGGTAATCCTGGCTCTACAGCTGCCTTGCTGTGTGCCGTGGGCAAGCTGCTCTCCCTCTCTGGGCCGCAGTGGGCATTGGTGGGTAAGACGAGAGCGTTCTAAGAGCACTTCAGCCGTGATCCCTCCTCATCCCAGGCCTTATCGCTCAGAGACACAAAGAGATCTGCGAGCCCGAGTGCCTCGTGTGACCCTGGAGAGTGGGGGAAGAAGCAAGAACACTGACACAAAGTCCCCTGTGACTCCCAAATCCAGCCCACAGGAGAAGCCAAGTGCAAGCCGGGAAGATTTCTCCAGATACAACCACCCCCTTGTTGCAGGGTCAAAGTCCAGCCTTGAGATCTGTCCCCAGCAAAGCAAACTGGCCTTGCAGCCCTGGAGTGGCTGGAAAGGGAACAAAAGCAGCAGGTCCAGAAGGCCAGGCCCTGGGGCCAGGCGGGAGCAGCCTGCCAGGCTCCCCTGCCTGCCGCCCAGGGCTTGGGGAGAATGCGCCCTTTGTCCCCCACCAGCTCTGGTCTGGCGGGGCTCTGGGACCGGGGGACAGCCTGGGAGGGGTTTCTGGAGCCCTGCAAGCAGCTTTCCCAAGGGAAAGGGCCGCAGGGGCAGCTGGGTGTCCAGGATGGCTCCGATGGCTCCCCACAGCTGTGGAGCCAGCAGGGTCCTGGGAGCAGGGGGTCCCATTCCTTCCTCCTTCCTCTCTCCTCTGTCCAGCTCCCTCCTGTTCCTTCTCTGTGCCTCTCTGCCACCGTCCATCTATGTCCCTGCCTCCCTCCCTCCCACTGCCTCTCTGTCTCCCTCTGTCTCTCTTGCCACATCTCTGTCTCTCTCTCCATCTCTGTCTGGGTGTGTGTGTGTCGCTGTCTCTCCCTGCCTGTTTTCTGTGTGTGTCTCCCCCTCCCTCCTCTGTGCCCCCTTCCCGGCTCCCTCTGCCCACGCTCACTGTCGTCTGTCTGTCTGTCTGTCCTGCAGGTACAGGCTGTGGGTAGACAGCTGCTCGGAAATGTTCGGCGGCCTGGACATCTGTGCCGTCAAGGCCGTCCACAGCAAGGACGGCAGAGATTACATCATTGAGGTGAGGGGAGCCCCAGCAGGTCCCCTGGCCTGGCACGGCCGGCAGGCGTGGGGGAGGGACGGAATGCAGGCACGGGCCCCAGCGTGGTCAGCTAGGTCCTGGCTTCCGGCCTGGGCACATGCAGCCTCAGTGGGCAGCTCCCGGAGGCCCCTCCCCACGGCCTCCTCATCTCCCCCATCCCCAGGCTGTCTGGAAATCTTCCTGCCCGGTGGCGAGAGCTCAGGGCATAGGGTTTACCAACTTTCCCCAACCTGCAGGCCTGAGGGTAGGGGAAGAGCATCTGGCCAGGGGTCAGCAGGATTCTGTCCCCTTGGGCCTCTTCCGTTTCCTCAATGTCCAAGTACGTAAAATGGGCACATCTCCCTGGTCACCGTGCAGAGACTCCATCACTTGTTCACTCAACAAACATGAACTTAGGGGCTCCATGGGCAGGCATGGGCGTGGCTCTGGGGGTGCAGCCTGGACACGACAGACATGGGGTTCACAGGCTGGCGGGGAAGATGCATGATAAACAAAGGCACGGTGCTGAGGGGACACAGGTGTGACCGGAGGGAAAGGTGGAGGGAAATAGTAATGTAACTGTGAGGGGCAGGCTGGCAGAGGAGCTGTGTGTCCGGAACCTCTCTCCAGACCTTCCCGCAGGCCATGCCTCTCCCAGGCCCATAAGCCCCTCTCCCCTCTGTGACTCCCCCATGTCCCTCGTGGTCCCAGGACCCTCCTCACCTCCCCTCCCTGCCCCCACACCCCATGGTCCTTCACCGCTTTCCCTGAAAGCCCCCGTCTGGCCTCAGAGGCCCCCATCCCCTCCCCACCTCGACAGCCCCACACACCCCCAGTGCCCACTCAGCTCTGTCCCCGTGGCCTCCTCCTCAGCCACAGTGGCGGGACAGCGCTGACACAGGCCAAGACACGTGAGGGAGAGCCCTGCGGCGGCCGCCTCCCCGGGCTGTGGGCGGCTAATGGGAAGCACATGGCCGGGTGACCACAGGAGCCAGCCCGTCCTCCAGGCCCTCGTGTCCGCCCCTCTCCCCGGGGACCCACCTCCGAGCAGCACCAGGTGACTCAATGAGAGGGCGCCCGGCCACGCCAGGAGGGCACTCACAGCCCTGCCCAGGTGGCTTCTTGGAGGTGAGCTGAGGCAGTCCAGCATGGACCGTGCCTCCACCCTCCCCAGAAAAGCCGGGAGCTCCCGCGGGTGAGTCTCGTCCGTATCAGCAGATCCGTCCTACGCTGGCAAACAGCTCTTCTCTCACGTCCAGGAATCGCTTTCGGGGCGGCTGCGCTCCCCGACATTCCCCAAGCAGCCCCTCTCGTAGGAGGCGTTGAAGGGCCCGGGGATAGTTGCTGCCTGGGGGAGCCCGTCCCCCACCTGCCTGGGGACATCCTGGGAGCTCTAGCCCAGGGGTGGGGCAAGGACCCTCCCGCTGGGGGCCTGCAGCTCCTGAGACCCCACCTGACCCTCCTGCCCCCCCATCTCCTCACAGGACCCCCAGACACAAACCCAGCTTTGGCATGCAAGCACCCATTCGTCTATCCATTGAGCCACGACTCGGGGCGCCAGTCCCCAAGCTGGGTGAGCACAGCACAGCAGGGACCCACCCTACCTCTTAGAGCTTCTGCTGCAGAGAGGTGGCAGGTGCTCAAGAACTGAAGGACCCCTGGCCTCGCATTAGCACGGCCTCTGCCCCGTGAGCTCCTGCCTCTCTGAATTCAACTTTCACTCTTAGGAAGAAAAAAATCTGCGGCCGTGGGCCCGGGCTTCCTGCCTCCAGACGTTCAGAGAGTCGGGGATGAAAGATCTTTCACATTAAAAAAAAAAAAAAAAAGTAAAAGTAGTGGGCTTGGACTTCAAAAAAAACAAGAAAACAACATCTCAAAAATGTTCCAAAAAAAGAAAGAAAGATGGCTTTTCAGATTTGTTTTTCCTCGCAGAAACATTGCAGAGTTATTTCCCTTGCTTTGGGGTTTGGGGTGGGGTCAGGGAAGATGCAGAGCTTGTTACCAGGAATATGAAAGGTATTTTCCCCCAGTAAAGAAAGAACAGGGGGAAGAGATCTAAAAATACTGGCTTCTTCAGCCACCCCTGTGGTGAGAACAGAAGGTTTGTGTGAAATGTTTTGTGAAGATCCTGACAGTGAAATACCCAGGGGAAAGACCAGTGAGCTTGTCCTCTCCAACCTGTCCCGGGAATGACCTTGCTCACTGGAAAAATGTTTCCCTGGGGAGACCGGAGTGTCCGCTTCCTTTGGCTGCGTCTGCCCTGGGGATTCCAAAATTCCCTGACCTCAGGTTCCTTGTGGCAGCCGTTTTCCACTGCAAGGAACGTAGGAAACAGAAACCAGAAGAGAACAGGGTGTCAGGGGCAGGGGGAGGGAGGACAGACAGGGTGCAGGAAGCCCGTGTCCATTCGAGAGAGCCCACAGCCATAACACTCAGCCAGCGTTGACCGAGAGACCGTCCGTGTGCTGAGCGCTGGGGTCCCCGGGTGTCCCAGCCCAGGTGCAGCCCACAGGAAGCTCAATTCAAGGACATTCTCAGGTCCCTGCTAGAATCTGTGTTCACATCCTTGAGTTTGCTTTTCGGCCTCCCAACTATAGTGGGTGCTTTAGATCACAGACCCCTAAAAGGCCCAGCTGGCAGGGTCTTCGCAGCTGCCCAAACCCGGCAGTTCACAGTTAAGAAGACAATAGGCCCATAGAGGAAGAGAAACTCGCCCAAGATCACACGGCAAGTCCATGGCTGAACCTAGGCCTGCAGCCCAGGTCTCCTCTTTCCAGCTCTTACCACAGGGGGCTGTCCCAGTGCTTTGTGAGAATTAACCTGGTGAGATGCAACCATCATGGATTGTTAGCCATGTGTCCTTGAACTTGCCACTCTTTGCCCCTTCTTTGACCTTCAAATGAGGATAATAATAGTCCCTACCTCAAAGAGCTATTCTGAGATTTATGCCAGATCATCCACACCTAGTGCTTAGAGCAGTGCTTAGCACATAGTAAGTGCTCAATAAAATATAGCACTTATTAATATCCTTATTATGCAAAGGGCTTATGGCAAGGACGTCTAACTCCTCCACTCAGCAGGTATTTATTGAGGGCATACCTATTTAACAGGACACTCCCTGAATTGGGGACTCATAGTTGGGTTGTAGAGACACAGTAAACAGAAGATGACAGAGCTGTGGGATGAGCTGTCCAGTGGGACAGCCAGACTGAGGACAGCAGGGGTACAGGTGTGAGGTGGCTCATCAGAGCTCATGCAGTCAGAGAGGGCTTCCTGGAGGAAGGGCTGGCTAGGTGTCCCTGCCAGGTGAGAAGGAGTTAGCCAGGTAAAGAGTGAGCAGAGGGAAGGATATGCATAAGGACCTGGAGGGGAGGGAGACCCTGGTGAGTGCAGAGCTCAGGAAAACAGGAGACAAGACAGTGAGTGACAGGGGTGGTACAGGTGAGGGTGGCTAGATTCCTACAGAGGAGGAGGAGAGGCCAGGTGACCAACCCAGCCATTTCGCTGATCTGCTAAGGCCTGAAAGACACCCCTTTAAGACCTCCCATAGCTGCTCGTACCCGAGCAATCCCGTGCATCGTTGGCCTGTGTGACCTTGGGCAAGTCCCTTCCCATCTCTGGGCCTCAGTTGCCCCATCTGTTAAAAGAGCAGAAGGGGCAGCTACGGCCCTCAGGCCGCCTCCCCGCTGGAGCACTCTGCTTCCTCTGAGAACAGCCCAGCTCCCTGGGGAATGAGCTTTGCCCCCGAGTACGTTCTGCCAGGGCCCCGAGAACAGGCCTTTCCTCTCTGCTCTTCCCTCTGAACCCTGGGCCAGCTCCAGCCTGTGTCACTTTTTTGTCCTGATCGAGGAGCCCCCACCTTCACTGTTTCCGGCTTGGTGGACAGCCTTGACCTCGGCCAAGGCAGAGGAGGCCTGCCCCGAGCCCGGGAGGGGGCCGGGGTGGGAAAGGAGGGGGCGGAGAGCGGCTCCCCAAAGCAGAGAGCAGAGGAGGTCCAGCGACTGGAGGCTGGAGGGACCGCACGAGGGAGCGGGAGTCTCTGGGCCCAGTCCCAGCGGGAGGAGCCGGCCTCGAGGTTTGCACGGAGGACGTCGCCATCTGGCGGTCGCCTCTGCCCTGAGCCCTGAGCCGGCGGGCTCTCCCCGCCTGGGGGTCCCTCAGACTCCTTTCCTCCCCCAGGTCATGGACAGCTCGATGCCCCTGATCGGAGAGCACGTGGAGGAGGACAAACAGCTCATGGCCGACCTTGTCGTCTCCAAGATGAGCCAACTCCTGATGCCCGGAGGCACAGTGCCCTCGCCCCTGAGACCTTGGGTAAGGGCCTCGGGAGCAAAGGAGACTTTGTAATCGCAAGGAACGCCCCCTGCCTGGGGAGGGGGAGCCCCCGGCCCCAAAGGAGACACCCCCAGGAAGGAACGACCTTGGGGAGAAGGCAGCGGGGTGTGGACAGAGCCCAGGCCCGGGGAGAGCATCTGCAGCCGCCCTGACGGCAGAATGCAGGAGGCTGCGGGGAACCCTTCCTCTCTCCCCCACCCTGGGGAGAACGATCTCGGCCCACCTGGCCTTTGGGCGTCTGTGGGCAGAGATTATGGACAGCTGTCCCCTCCGTGCCCTCCATCCTGTGCCTGAACAGGACATGTGTGAGCACATGCATGCAACAGCACATGTACACACGTGCCCTTGCAGTCAATAGAGACTATTGTGTCTTCCGTTCCCCACCCCCACCCACCCTGGCAAGCCCCCCGCAGCGCCCCCCGGTCCACAGCCCCCACCGTGGACCACCAGATTATTCTCCAAAGAATTTGCCAGCTGCCCAGCTTTCTGGAAAAGCAAGTCTCAAAACCCCCACTTTCCCCACAAAAACGAATCTATGACAACAGACAGCAGAATACCGGTTATACATGAGGGGGTTGCTGCCTGGGAGGGGGCGGGGGACGGACAGCCTTCTCCACGGAATGTTCTACGTCTGGCTCTGGGCTGTGGTTACAGCCATGTACACACGTGCAGAACTTCATTACGCTGTACACCCCAGAACTCCATACTTTATGTCAGTCTTATCTCAGGAATAAGATCTTTATGGATACCTCCCTCCAGCCCAGGAAGTCAATGGCCGTGGTGAGATCAACAGGCTTCTTTTCTCTTCTCCTGCTCTAGGCTCCGCAGATGAAATCAGCGAAGTCCCCAGGGCAAGCCCAGCTGGGACCTCAGCTAGGACAGCCCCAGCCGCGCCCCCCTCCACAAGGTATGTATGAGCCGGGACAAGCCGTTGAGAGAGACCCTCTCCGTGAGGGTGTGGAATGCATTGGGGGCCACGTGTGGTTTCCAGAAGGCTCTCTGGAAAGTCCGTCTTCAGGCTTCATCCAGAGAGCACGCTTGCTCACGCCATCCGCAGGATGAATGAGGCTATGAGGTCTGTCAGCCCCTTAAAGTCAGGAAGGGAAGATGGGAAACGAAGTCAACTTACTACGTACCAAAAATGTACCAAGCTCTGTGCTAGCGACTGTCCCATCCAGTTCCTCACTTTTATTGTCCCAACCACTCTACAGTGAAAATAGCATTGCCTTTTTTTTTAGCAATGCCAAATAGCATTGCCTTTTTTTTAGCAATGCCAAATAGCATTGCCTTCCAGAGGTGGAAGTTGAGGCTTTGCCCAAGGAGGTACGACAGGAAAATGGTGCATTTACCAGTCTGGCCTTTCACACCTTCTAGAAAGTGTTTGTTCATAGCAACAGGTGGTGCCTGATTAGAGATTTGTGAGTCAACTGGCTACGGCTAGAAAGAAAGGAAAATGGAATCTTATATGTAACCTTGTCGATTGAAATTCCTCCTCAAAAATATTCCATCATCGCTATGTAAATGTCACCCTTTGTTAGAGAATGCACAAACTATTGATAACAAGACGAAGGAAAATCATGGCCAGGCTGAGTAACTTCCTCAGGACAGTCAGCGCTCGGGTGTCCTCAGCTGGCCTGGGAGAAACTCGGCCCGCACTCTCTCTCGCAGTCAGAACCTGGGCACAGTTGCGGCTCTAGCGCCAGCGTGGAGCTTCTGAGCACCTTCATTGCAGTCTTGGAAGGACCTGCTTTAAAACCTGAGGGAAAGAAGGGCACACTATCATACTGGGGCCTTCCCAGTCGCAGTTTTTAAAGCAACAGATCCATTGCTTCCTGGGGAAAATCAGCCTTGGGCACCAAATGGCTTCCTCGGTTCCAGGTCTTAGATGGAAGGCGCTATCCATCTCTCCTGCCTGTACTTCTCTTCCTGGAAAAGTAGAAAGTATTTAAGAAAGGGGAAATTGTATAATTGTGTACAACTGGGGCACAGCTCAGAGCTCAATTCCAGACCACCACAATAAAGTAAATATGACGATAAAAGGGAATCACACAAATTTTATTATTTCCCAGTGCCTGTAACAGTTATGTTTAACATCATACTGTAGTGTCTTAATGTACGATAGCATTATGTCTTTAAAAACACTATGTACATACCGTAATTATAAGACAATTCATTGCTAAAAATTCTAACAATCATCTGAGCCTTCAGCGAGTCATCTTTCTGCTGGTGGTGGGTCTTCCTTCCACGTCCATGGCTGCTGAGAGTGATCAGGGTGGTGGCTGAGGCAACTTCTTAAAATAAGGACAACAGTGAAGTTTGCCACACCGATTGGCTCATTCTTTCACAAAAGATTTCTCTGTAGGCCCGACACGGTGGCTCACGCCTATAATCCTAGCACTCTGGGAGGCCGAGGCGGGAGGATTGCCTGAGCTCAGGAGTTCGAGACCAGCCTGAGCAAGAGTGAGACCCCATCTCTACTAAAGATAGAAAAAATTAGCCAAGGGTGGTGGCACGTGCTTACATCCCAGCTACCCAGGAGGCCGAGGCAGGAGGATCGCTTGAGCCTAGGAGTTTGAGGTTGCTGTGAGCTAGGCTGACGCCACGGCACTCACTCTAGCCCGGGCAAGAGAGTGAGACTCTGTCTCAAAAAAAAAAAAAAAAAAAAAAAAAAACAAAGATTTCTCTGTAGCGTGTGATGCCATTTTACTGACAACAGAACTTCTCTCCAAATTGGAGTCAATCCTCTCAAACCCTGCTACTGCTTTATCAACTAAGTTGATGTGATATTCTGAATCCTTTGTTGTCATCTCAGCAATGCTCATAGCATCTCCACCAGGAATAGATGTTATCTCAAGAAACTACTTTCTTTGTTTATTCATAAGAAGCAAGTTCTCATCCATTCAAGTTTTATCATGAGACTGCAGGAATTCAGTCGCATGTTCAGGCTCCACTTCTAATTCTAGTTCTCTTGCTACTCCCACCACATCTGCAGTGACTTCCCCCCTGAAGTTTTGAACCCCTCAAAGCCATCCACAAAGGTTGGAATCACCTTCTTCCAGACTCCTGTTAATGTTTGACCTCTTTCCACGAATCCCGACCATTCTTAATGGCATCTAGAAGAGGGAATCCTTCTCAGAAGGTTTTGAATTTACTTTGCCCAGATCCATCAGAGGAATCACTATCTATGGCAGCTATTTCCTTACAAAATGTATTTCTTAAATAATAAGACTTGAAAGTCCAAATGACTCCTTGACCTATGAGCTGCAGAAGGGATGTTGTGTTATCAGGCGTGGAAGCAACATTAATCTCCTGTACATCTCTCCATCAGAGCTCTTGGGTAACCGAGTGCATTGTCAATGAGCAGAAATATTTTGAAAAGGATCTTTTTTTCCAAGAAGTAGGTCTCAACAGTGGGCTTAAAATATTCAGTAAACCATGCTGTAAACAATGTGCTGTCTTTCGGTCCATTTATAGAGCACAAACAGAGTAGATTTAGTATGCTTCCTAAGGGCCCTAGGATTTTTAAATGGCCAATGAGAATTGGGTTCAAGTTCAAGTTGCCAGCTACATTAGCCCCTAACAAGAGAGTTAGCCTGTCCTTTGAAGCTTTGAAGCCAGGCACTGACTTCTCTCTAGGTATGAAAGCCCTAGATGGCATCTTCTTCCAACAGTAGGCTGTTTCCTCTATGTTGAAAATCTGTTGTTTAGTGTAGCCACCTGTATCAATGATCTTAGCTAGATCTTCTGCATTCATAAGATGCTGCAGCTTCTACATCAGCACCTGCTGCTTCACCTTTTATTTTTTGGAGATGGCTTCTTTCCTTAAACCAATCTCTGCTAGCTTCAAACTTTTCTTCTGTGCCTTCCTCACCTCTCTCAGCCTTCATAGAATTGGAGAGAACTAGGGTCTCGCTCTGGATTAGGCTTTGGCTCAAGGGAATGTGTAACTGGTTTGATCTATCCGGACTAATCAAGCTTCCTCCCTATCAGCAATAAGGCTGTTTCACTTTCTTATCATTTGTGTGTTCACCGGAGTAGCACTTTCAATTTCCTTCAAGAACTTTTCCTTTGCATTCACAGCTTGGCTAACTTTTTGGCAGAGAGGCCTAGCTTTCAGCCTGTCTCGACTTTCAACGTTCCTTCCTCACTCAGCTTAATCATTCCTAGTTTTTTACTTAAAGTGAGAGATGTGTGACTCTTCCTTTCACTTGAACATTTAGAGGCCACTGTAAAGTTATTAATTGGCCTAATTTCAATACTGTGTCCCAGGGAACAGGGAGGCCCAAGGAGAGGAAGAGAGAAGGAGAGAATGGCCAGTGGAGCAGTCAAAAAACACACATTGATTGATTAAGTTTGACATCTTACATGGGCATGGTTCATGGCACCCCAAAACAATTGCAATAGTAGCATCAAAGACCACTGATCACAGATATACATGCCCATTCATTAATTCATCACCCATTTGTTGATTCCCGATTATACACCTGGGATTCATCAAGAGACACCCTGCTTATTTCTTTCAGTTTCTGGGCAAAGCAAAAAACTAGGTATTTTTTATTTGACCACATATAAAAAAATATTAACTTATAAATATAAAGTCTTAATATTTGCTTAAAGCACAGGATTGGTGCTAAAAAATTGTTTATTAAACATTTTTCACTTTTATTGAAATTTACTGGCCATAACATACATACTAATAATGAAAAAGTTTGAAATATCTGAGAATTACCAAAATGTGACCAGAGACACAGGTTTGTGCACATGATGTTGGAAAAAATGACACTGACAGATTTGTTCAACACAGAGTTGCCACAAACCTTCAATTTATAAAAAATTGTATCTGCAGATCACAATAAAACGAAGCATAATAAAACAAGGTATGCCTATTTATATGATCATTAGTATTCTTCTTTAAGCAGATAATATGTTTTTGAATGCATTTCCATGTCTCAGCTGTCTTTTCAGTCTGAGGCAAGTCACGCTACTTCTCCAAGCCTCAGTTTCCCCAGGGCAAAGGAGGAAATAAAGCTGCCATATCTAACGATGAGGAATTGTCCATGAGCTACTGCAGGTGAGGCAGTTAGCAAAGTGTCTGACATAGTAGTGCTTAGAAGGTGTTAGTTCTTACTGCCAGTAATTTACTATCACTATTATGTAACTCTATGAATGACTTGTGTCTTATACATGTTGCTCTTAGTGATTATCATTAACAATCCTCATAACAACTGCAGCCCCACTGCCCTCCTGCCCAGCAAAAATTCTATAGTTACAAATGTTCAAAAACTGCTTCTCCCTCACCCCTCCAGGCTCCTGGCAGGGCCTCTGCCCGGCCCCTCCTCTGCCGCTCTGCCCCAGGACTTACTTTTTAAAAACACATTTGAACAGAGCCCTTTTAAAACAGAGAACTACTGTATTCCGATTTCCTCTCTGGCCCAGAGTAGAAACATGCTTTGATAAAGAGATATTATTTTAAGGGACATGAGGCTAAACACATTTTTAGTGACTTGAAAAACAATCAATTTAAAACCAATTAAGGTAATTAAAGAAAATGCCCGGTGAATTTACATTCAGATTAAAAATAACAAGGCTAATTTTAAAACAACACTTTCATTGAGTTTCCCCAAATAACAAGATCACATTATTAACTTATTTTGAACTCACCGTTCATTTCAACTCAGTAAAAGTGAAAGTTTCTTTTAATAAACTTAATTTTTCAGCACCAACCCTGTGCTCAGGCAAATACTTTCTATATATAAGTTAAGATTTTTATATGCGCTCAAATAAAAAAAATACCAAATTTTCTGCTTTGCCAAGAAGCTGAAAGAAATAACCAGGGTGTCTCTTGATGATTCCCATAATAGTGCATAATAGGGAATCAGCAAATGGTTAATGAATTACTGAATATTTTCCAGATTTTCCAAGATATCCACCTGGGGAGAGGGAAGGGGCGAACATAAGAAAATAGGAAGAAAACAAATGTTTTCTTTGATCTGCAGTAGGTTTAGAAAACCAAAAAGTAACCAGCATGTAGAAATCAGGAGGTTTTACTTGGACTTCTAGAGATTTCCAGCTTCTCCTGATAGGACAGAAGCTCTAGAAACTGTAGGTCCACATCACAGCTGTCCCCTAGCATTCGTAAGGACCGGGCCCCCTCTAGTTGCCTCTGGCCCTACTCCTCCCTGTTGTCACTTCCACAGGGGAAGGGGACGTCACTTTCTTTATGCTTGCACCTCTTTAGAGAAATAGTCCTCTGGACTATGTTTTTGTCTCAACTGGGAAAAGTCCTTAAGGCCATGTTACTGTTCTTACACTCGCCTGCTTTATTTCTTTAAGCACCTGCCTGGCCTTACAGGTGCTTGAGTTCGAGATCAGCGTGTCCTCCAGCCTCCTGGGGCACATAGTCACGAAAGAGGTAATGAACCCAGGCCACGTGCAATCGGTTGCTAAACCTGCTGCAGTTGAATCCAACCTGGAGAGTGCGCCGCAGGCTCACAAAGTGCGGGGAATGTCTGGTGTATAGTCCAACAACCTCATATAACAACAAATGAGGGCCCAGAGGCCCAGAGAGGAGGAGTGAGTTACCCACAGTCACACCGCCAGTTAGTGGCAAGGCTTGGGTCAGGACCTGGGGCTCCTGGTGCCAGTGTGGGTTAAGAGCCACGGGACATACAGGTTGTGCCCTCTGAAAATGTGCCCAGCTGCCTCGATGTCTGAGGGGGCAGGTTGGCCGAAATCCAGTCCTCGGCCCGCTGGCACCTGGCTCAGAGCCGCTTCCACTGGAGGAAGCCGCCTTTTCTTAATTCCCATGAAGATGTCACAAGGACTCAGGGCAGCCCTGGGTGGTATAGTTTAAGAAACAAACAAACAAAATCCCTATACTATATTATAGACTGAGGGCCTTAAACAACAGAAATGTATCTTTTCACAGTTCTGGAGGCTGGAAGTTCAAGATCAAGGCTCTGGCCGAGCCGGTTTCTGATGCAGCTCCTCTCTGGGCTTGCAGAGGCAGCCTCCCTGCTGTGCCTCCCATGGCCTTTCCTCGGTGCCCAGGCACACGCACACTGTTGATGTCCCTGCCTCTTCTTATAAGGACACCGGTCCTGTGAAATTAGGACCTCATGACCTCATTTAACTTTATTACCTCCTTAAAGACCCCATCTCCAAACACACTGAGGGTTAGGGCTTCAACATATGAATTTGGGGGGGGGGGGAGGTTTGCACAATTCAGGCCACAACACTGTCCCCGACCTACTGTATCAGAATCCCTATGTGGCAAGAGCCCCCCAGTGATTCATATATATGCACATTTATACGCATGATTCATATATATGTACATTTATACGCATGTGATTCATATATATGCACATTTATACGCATGTGATTCATATATATGCACATTCATATATATGCACAGCGTGTTTGAGACACGCTGATTTTAGTGTACGAGCTTCCAGTGTGTCTTTTTCACATGGCTCTTATACATACGTGCCAAAATGGAACAAAACCGTATGTCCTGTTCTTAAGCTGCTCTTTTGTTGTTTAGCAGCGTGTATTTAGCATATATTATCAACACTGCCCTGTGTCATTTAACACTGTCTGGCCACATGCTATGGGATGATCACAGCATATTCCACTATATGGATATATTTTAATGTTCCTAATGACTTCCCTATGGTTAGATATTTATACTGTTTCCAGTTTTTCACTGTTTCTAAAAGAACACTGTCATGAATATCCCTGAAGCAACATTATTTATGTATAGCCATGTTTACCCTAGGAAAAAAATTGGAACAACTTAACCTCTTATTTTATTTGTTTACTTTTTGGCCCCGTAGGGGGCCCTCGCCAAGCTCAGTCTCCCCAGCCCCAGAGGTCCGGAAGCCCCTCCCAGCAGAGGCTGTCCCCGCAAGGCCAGCAGCCCCTGAGCCCCCAGTCCGGATCTCCGCAGCAGCAAAGATCGCCAGGCTCTCCGCAGCTGTCCCGGGCATCCGGCGGCGCCTCCCCAAACCAGGCCCCCAAGCCGGGCGCCGCCCTCCCCTCGCAGCCCCGGCCCCCGGTGCAGGGCCGGAGCACCTCTCAGCAGGGCGAGGAGTCCAAGAAGCCTGCGCCGCCCCACCCCCACCTCAAGTAAGTGCTTTGGGAATCGGAAAGGGGGTGGGGTGGAGTTGGGGTGCACGGGTGGAGTTGGGGTGCACGGGCAGAGCTGGGCTGGTTCAAGCTCAGGGACTCAGGGACAAAGGAAAACCCAAAAGGAAAAAGCCTCACCTAGACTGTAAATAGGTAAAAACAGGTCTAGAGGGGTGGAACTTGTGGGGAGGGCCCAGCAAGGCGAGAGTATAGATTAGGCCCCACCGTCGTGACCCTCCACGTATACATGCAATGGTTATCTCTTGCCGCAAAACAAACCACCCCTAAACTTAGTGGCTTAAGAAAACAACCATTTTCTTTGTTCATAATTTGTTTTTGGTTCATCAGTTTGTTCTGAGCTGAACTCAGCTGGAAGGTTCTTCTGCTGGTGTCTCCTATGGAGTTCCCAGATAAAACATAAGATGCCCAGTGAGATTTAAATTTCAGAAAAACAATGGATGCTTTTGAATATAAGGATGCCCCAAATATTGCATGGAATACACTTATACTTTTATAAGTCTTTGTTTTTCATCTGACATTCAAATTTAACTGGGTGTCCTATATTTTTATCTGCTCAATCTGACAATGCTGCTCCCCTGGGATCACTCACGTAGCTGCAGTTATCTTGCAGCTCTGGTGGGGCTGGGTGGTCCAAGAGGGTCTCACCCACTACCCTGCTTGCTGGTGGGAACTGTCAGCTGGGCCTCTCTCTCCAAGGGGGTGTCATCCTGCCCCGGGCACCACCAACCTTTCTCACATGGTAGAGCTGCTTTCCAAAAGAGGAAAAGTAGAAGTTTCAAGGCCTTTTGAGGCCCAGCCTTGGAAGTTAGACATTGTTACTCCATTCCCTGCTTTTGGTCAAAGCAAGTCACAAGGACAAGGCCACATTCAAGAGGTGGGGAAATAGACTCTTGAGGGAGGAGCCACAAAGTCACATTGCAAAAGGGTGGACAACAGGGAGAGGAGGAATTGTTGTGGTCATTTTTGTAAATCACTCATCAACAATACACATACACATCCTGCTTCCTCTTGGGCCCATCTCTGGTTTTGAGGTCCAAAGAGAGATCCCAAATAAGTTTTCTTTAGAGCACTCTGCCTTCATTCAACTCCGGACACTCGTATTGATCATCATTGTTTCTCAACTAACAGCTCCTGTCCACTCCCTCTGTACCAAGTACTTTACCCAGTTGGGTTTTTTTTTTAAGTTCCCCCAAGCTTAAGAGTTAATAACTATTATTATCTCCATTTTACAGATGAGTAAGCAGAGAAAGATTAAATAACTTGCCAAAGTTTCCACTGTTAGTAAGTGGAAGAGCTGGGATGGAATCTAGGACATGCAGTCCAGGGATCACACTGACAACAATTTTTTTGAATAGGTAATAGGTTCACATGGTTCAAAGATCTAAAAGATATCAATGATATCAAAGATGTACATTGAAAAGCCTCACTCCTACCCCATTCTTATCCAATGCTTTGTTTCCACAGTCCCTAGAAATGACCACCTTTGTCGATTCCTTGTGTGTCCTTTCAGTGTTTCCTTATGCAAATACAAAAATAGACATTCTGATCCCCTTGCCCATTTATGCAAATAGTAATATTCACTATCTGCACCATTGTGCTCCTTGCTTTTCCTGTTTAACAGTAAATCCTGGAGCTCTTCCACCCAATTCATTGAAATTTCTCCTTTTTCATGACTGTATAGTATTCCACTGTGTAGTTGTACTATAATTTATCTAACTAATCCACCATAAATAGAAACTTGGTTTGTTCTTACAAATAATGCTGCAAGTAGTAACTTTGACTTTCATAATTGCAGGACTAACTGTAGAGAAAATACCTGAAGTGGTATTGTTCTATCTAAGGATAAATGTAGTTTTAGTCTGATATATACTAGCAAGTGGCCCTCTAGGCTATATGGCCTAGCAGTTGACAGCAGACTCTGGTCAGATGGCCTGGGTTCAAATCCTAGCTCTACCACTTAGAAACGACAGAACCTCAGATAAGTGGCTTAACCTCTCTGTGCTTTCAATTTCTCACATGCGAAATAGGGACAGTAGCCCCACATGGTTATTATAAGGATTAAAGTGAGTTCATGAACAGTTAGTGCTCAGAGTGCTGCTGGCACCATAGAGGCCTGTCTGTGTACCTCCTGTCACCATGTAAAAAGGTCAGCTTAGCTAATCGCAGGACAGACCGGGGCTTTGGTACTTAAGCTCAGTTTGGTCACTGACCTTGCAGTGATCTAGCTAGAAACACTTAAGTCTCCAGACTTACTGCTTGAAAGCTTTTGGTTCAATTCAAGTCAGCAGGTCTTTGCCAAATGCCCACTCTGTGCCTTGTCCCGGGCAAGGCTCTGTGAAGGGTTAGTAAGCAAGGGTAAAAGATGGTCCCTGATTTAAAGAGGACTTCAGCTTTTAACTCGACAACAAGATCATGTGCAGAGCTCTTAAACTTGTGTCACCTGCACTAGACTGCGAGCCTCTCGAGGGCAGGCCTGAAGCGCAGTCGTCCCTCACCTCTGTCACCTGGCACTGGCCTGGCACACAGGAGGTGTTCAGCAAGCAGTGGCCGCAGGCTGGCACTGGCACAGCACGCACAGAAATGCACACGGTGGCCCCAAACTCGGCACTGTGACAATCCCAAACGGGGATTTGGCAATAAAGGCTCAGGAGCAGAGGTGGGAATTGAAGCCCAGAGTGTCAGAGCCAGAAGGGGCCTGAGGGTCATTCCACAGACGAGGTCAAGGGCAACTAACCCTGAGATGGTGAGTCTCTTGCCCAAGGCCATAGACACCCAATGGCAGAGAAGGGTCTAGAACGCAGACCTCCTGATTCCCAACCCAGTGCCGGAAACCACAGTGGGAGTGACTGTAGCCTGATGCTGACACGGCACTTGTACCTGCAGGCAGGTGTGGACTCAAGCTCCTCCCTGGTGACCCCGGCTGCCTGAACCGCGGGGGGTCACGGAAAGAAGGCGAACTTTCCGTGCTCCCCGTGGCCAGCTGTGAGGACAGAGCAAGTTACCTGACTCTGTGAGCCCCAATTTCTTAAACCTAAAATATGAGGCTAACGATCGCCACCTTGCAGATTAAACTGTGTGTGCTTCATGTGCCAGCGCCACGGAAGCGCCGAACGCCCGGTTTCTGGTCGCACTAAGCCCGTGATGACGGGGCTGGCCCATGTGCCGCCAGGACTCGCTTCCTCTGCAGTCCCGGCCTTGTCTTCCCCAACGCCCTGCCTTTCTGTTCCAGCAAATCCCAGTCCCTGACCAACAGCCTCGGCACCCCCGACGCCGGCCAGCGCGGGACCCCGAGCGAGGACGAGGCCAAGGCGGAGACCATCCGCAACCTGAGGAAGTCTTTCGCCAGCCTGTTCTCGGACTGAGCCGTCCAGGCTGGGGGGAGAGCGCTCACACCGCCCTGCCTCCGCTTCCTTCTCAGCCCGGGTTCCTGGCGGGAGCAGAACGCAGGGCCCGAGAACTTACTTTCTAAATGCCTTCGACCCAGGAACTGATTTTCCATGTGTTCCCATTTTCCTTCCCCATGACACGCCAACATTGTCTGACTGAGGGGTGGGCCTTGGGGAGCCTCTAGTTTCCCGAAAACAGGCCTGAACGACAGGCGTCACATCCCCGCGCCCACCCACGTGCTTGCTTCCCTGCCAGATGGACGAGTCCGCCTGCGGCTGGCTGGTTCTCACGTCTCTTGGTGTTTTGCTCGCCTTTGGGCGAAGGCCCCTCTGTCGAATGCAGGCACGGTAGTTGGACCTCAGCAATGTAGGAGGCAATAACCTTTTAACAGTGCTTTGCAAACAGAAAGAGAAAATCCCAGCCAGGGAAACCTACCCCCTGCCCGCGCTAGTTCCATCCACACTCCAGACCTGCCCTCAGAGCAGGCAGGCAAAGGCCCGTCACACCTGGCCGCCAGCGGGGTTTTGAAGACAACAGGCAAAATAACAGGCCCTGTGTGGCAAGTGGGGCCTTTCAGAACACAACAGAGAGAGGGGAAATCCTAGCAATGCTGCTCATGCCCAGAGCATTGTCCTCAATTGGACAGCGAGAGATCACAGGTTCTTACAGGAATCCCAGAGGAGAAAGAGGCCCCGAACTTCCCAAGGGAAGAGCTAGGTTAGGATTCCTGTCCCCATTCTGTGTTACGCCACTGTTTGGTCTCTTTGGCCTCTCTCCAGGAATGTTGTGCCCTCCTCAAAGATCTATCGGGAACTAGAGAGAATCAACAGATCAATAACACAGGGTCAGAAAGTGCAGTGACAGTAACTTCCAGCTCAGCATTTCAAAAACTCTGTGCAGCAAGGTGTTGTAGGTTACTCCGTTTCAAAAGGGTCCCGCGGTCAAATATATTTAGGAAACACTGTTTATGTTTCTTTTTTAGAGATGCCTAGTACACAATACATGTCAAAGGCTTTTGGAATTCCTGCAGGAAAGAAATCAGCTCTAACTTTGTGCAACCCAAACTGATTTGACTCAACAAGTGAACCGCAGAGCTGGAAAATGTAGTCTAGACTCCCTTCCCAGGGCTCTTCCCCTACACCAGACTGCCTCTCCTGCTCAGGTGGGGTTCAGGGGTGTCCCAAGTCACCAAGCACCTGGTGCTAGAAACATCATAGGTGCCAGAAGCAGCCTCTTGGTATCAAAGAGAGCCCAGGACACTAGAACTTAGCTGTGTTATCCCCTTACTGCCCTTTGCAATCTGAGGTGTGTCTTCCTCTGTCCGCAAAGAAGGGAGAGAGGGAGGTCAAAATTGACCTAGGGCAGCTTCTAGTTATGCCCAAGCGATGTAGACTGCTTGGCAATCAGCTGACAGCCATCCAGGTTCCCAGGAGCATAAAAGCAGTCATCTCTTTTGTGGTCCTCCAAAACCAAACTGGAGTAGCGAGAATAGGCCAGAGCCCCGCTCCTTCTGTGTGCATCGGGTCACCTAGAACACTTGAGCTCAGAAGAGCCTGCCTCCAGGCTATCTTTCCACAGGCTGCAGGCTGGAGACGGGCTCAGTATCCGAAGTGCTGGCTTTGTGCCTGGCTGCAGAGACCCACCTGGCCTTCAGGGGCGTCCTCTTTCGCTTTGCCCTCTTCCCTCCCTCATGATCAGGTCGGTATTAAGAGCAAGAGAGCCCTGGCTAATCCAGATGTCCTCCCTCTCCTTGTGTTCAGGACCTCTGGCTGTGGACTCAGTAGTAAGTAGCATTAAGTAGCCCTGGCATAAGAAAGATCAGAGAGGTCCAATTGCCAGTGGCCGCTGGGAGCCATAATTCAGCAGCTGGAGACTGGGGGCTGAAGCCTGCTCAGCCTTGGCTAGGGCCAGCAGCAAATAAAATGGCCATTGCGTGAGGTGAGAGGTGAACAGGTGAGGGCCCAGCACTCTTTCCAGTACCCCAAAACCCCACCACCCCTATTCTGTGCTCGGTTGAGTTCTGTGTCTGTGGGACGGTCGCTGCTGGCGTGTCTGGGCTCACTCTGCCCAGGACCACACCTCGCTCCTTTCCGCCCAGCCTATGCGGTGCCACAGAACAGGCTGGCCAGGAGCCGCCAGAACCCCTCCCGGCGTGGCTGAGAGCACCCAGTGGGCAGGCACCACGCTCACCACGTCCTTCTAGACCCTCCAGGTGGGTAGAGGTGGGAGCCTTGGGGTCAACACCCCCACAACCATGCTTTTGGGGGGCTCAGAGGAGGATAGGAATTAAATCACAGTTTATCATTTCGTAGAACTTTGCTTCTTCCTCCTTCTCCTGCTCCTGCTGCTGACTTAACCCTTTCACCACTCCTTAGCAACTTGTGAAGACAGCCAGGTGGGGCAGACGGAAAGAAGACAGGAAGTGAAACTCAAAATGTCAAATGCAGGTACTTTCTTAAACCTGTTTAACAGAAGAGAGTGTAAATATTGATTCCCATAGGTTTGGTGATGAGCCACCCCAGTCAAGGATCCTTACGTCCTGTTACTTAAACACACACACACACACACAAAAAAAAAAAAAAAAAAAAAAAAAAAACATGCCTAGAAAATCACTGGGAATTGACAACTGTACATCCAAAATCCCATCACCAAATGTTCAGTTCATAGTTCTCTTTTTAGGGGGTCTCTGCAGACCTGCTTCAAGAGGAAAACTGCTTCCTCGCTCGGCTCTGAGAAGTGAGGGGTCACTAATATAAATCACACGCTGAGGGATCCAAAGTACCATCCTCTCAGCTTGAAGGTCCCGGGTCCCTCCTCTCTCTCCTGACAATGGCAGTTGAGGTTGCCCCAGTAGAAGGACCTGGGGACCCTGCCCCTAGGAGTCTGTTACAAGATTCAAGCACAGAGAGTTATAGCACTTGAAATTTGTTCTCTTCCACTTAAAAAAAATCCCCTCCCCTCATTACTCAGGAGTAGATCTCTCAAAGAGATAATGCTGTTCCATAGTCTAAATAAAAGGGTGGGAGAAAAGACGTAGGGCAGGGCGTAATACCACAGTTTCAGGGGATTAAGAACACAGGAAACATCTGTGGCAATCATCATTCTTCAACAATTTCACCCAGTTCTCACTTGGTAATAAACTACAGCTCAAAACACACAACTGAGCGGTAATAGGCTAGATGTTTCTCAAAGTGTGGGCTATGGCCGTGTGCAGAACTACAAATTACAGAGGCAGATGAAGCTTCATTTCAGACCTAAGGAGTCAGAATTTGTGGACATAGGGCCCAGAATTGCATCTTTGTCAATTGTGCCAAGTGTTTTGAGTGCACATTGAGTTAGACCAGCTGCCCTGAGCTGAGCTGTGTGGGAAAATGACTACACAAGAAGTGGTACTGGTATACCCAGTGCATTGCAGTCACCAGGGTGCTAGGGACCCACTCCCAGCTGAGCAAAACTAGAGGCTCCGTAAACAACGACCACATGGCCTAAACTCTCCCGCTTTCCTATATTCTGTCCCTTGGCCCTAGAAACATCTCAGCATTCAGAGCGTATCTCCCAGATACTCCATCAACAGTAGCACAAACTCTTTGCAAAGTCAGTATCAGGCCCAGGCATCCTGATTCTTACAAGCATGCACAGATACACCTAGACAAGGACATAACACTATTTTATGACCAACACATTCGAATGGTTTTCCCATTGGCCTATGTGTGAATGTAGAGACCAAGAATGTATAGGTCTCATGGAGACCATAGAGCCCAAAAATGGACTATTTACTCACATAGGCTAGCACGTGTTCCTTCCAAAAATTTAACCTTTAATAATTGTGACATTTTGAAATGGGAAAGGGCAAAAAGAAGGGGAGAGGGGGTCACTCTGTATAGATTCTGAAAGGTTATGTTTGTTGTTTTTTGCTTTGTTTCGCAACTTTGACCCAAAGAAAGGCTAGCGTTTTCCTTCCAGGCTGACTCAGTGAAGCCGAAAAACAACAAAGACCCATTTGATTTGTGCACAATGAACAGGGATTTAAAAATGCAGCCTCAGTGGACACCTCTACCAGCCAGATAAAATTTCTTCCAGCTCTTCCTCCTATCAGCATGATAAAATGGTACTGTGTACTCTGGTGAAGTGCAAAATCAGGGACATTCCAGGGACACTGGAATATCTCTGTCCTTTCACTTCCATCAGTCCCCTACGCTCTCTTCCTTACTGCATCCCCTCCTAACACCCAGGCCCTGCTGGTAGGCAGCCAGGCCTACCTTTCCAGAATTTCAGGGGTGATGGGTCTTCACTCACATGATAACAAATACGGCAGCAAACCCCATGAAACTGAACAGCAACCGCCTTCTGGAAGTTCTCATCTGAGTTCCCTGAGGATGGGAGAACGGAGAGGGGAGAGCAAGCTGGTGCAGGTGTCTCCCACATGAGCCATGTGAGCACGGCACAGGCGTGCTGCTGGGCACACGGCAGGTGTTCAGGACGTGTTTTAGGTAGGCCCCACCCCCACCCTAGAAAACTATGAAATTAATAAAATGCAAACAAAGTATTAAGATTGAATTAAAAGGCTGTTTTCCTAAGAGTATCAATGTTAAGGAAGTCACTTGCCCAGGAACAGGATCAAACCCACAAAGATTAGTAAAAAGAGTTAATCAAGAAAAAGAGTTGAAGGAACTCAATGGCAGGTTTTTAACCTCAAAAAGACCTCTTCTAAACCGAATCTGAAGAGGAATGGAGCAAGCAAAGTGGGAACACGAGACTGGCCCCCCGGGGAGTGTGGCCCTGGGGCCCGCGGGAAGGTGAGGTGACCTCAGGGCTGCCAGGCCTGGGAGCCCCAGAGGGGTTACCAGCACTGGTCAGAGGAGGCTGCGGTGGGACCAGGACAACGCCAACGCTCGCACAGCAAAGGCCCGGGACCAAGCAAGTGCGCGCCGACTGTCGGCCACCTGACAGAACACAGCGGTTTCCAGACAGCAAGGCCTCAGTTCAAGCCACCCACAGGCACACCTGGTGTCCTTCAGGACCCGCCCCTTCCAGCACTAGAGGGCAGACTATCCCCCGTGCAGTTTATTCGACTTCATAAAACAGCGTGGCGGCCTATCTTGTTCTGTGTTTAGAATTGGTGAGAGGGTGCAGGTTAGACTCGGGTTAAGCTAGTGAAGTCAACCTTGCAGATATGAGTGGTAACCCAATTGTCCTGGAGGAACAGCTTATTGCCTGAGAACATTTTTGCTTGTATTGTGTGTTATTCTTTAGCAAGCTGGCTGGTTACTAATAATACTGACAAGTGTCAAAAACTGTCCCAAATGCCCAAGTGGTCATTGATTAGATTACAGCTTTCATATCATGCTTAGACTGTAATAGCAGGCGGCACTTTTGGTTTGGTTGGAGACCAACTGGAAGGTTGGGCAACAAGCAAGTCAAATCGGTCCCTTTATCAAACGCAATGCATAAAGGACACAGAGGCTCCTGTTATTTCCAAAGACAAAACATGCAGCTGAAAGAGATAAGATGTGGACACAGTCCACGCACTCAAATCTCAACTGGCGGGCCAAGAGGAAAAGATGAAAATGGCTGGGAAATATTTTTTTGGAATTAGTGAGGCATTCCTTTAAGAGAAACCAATCTAAAACTAAACATTCCTTCTGCAACGTGTGTATATATGTGTGTTTTAACCTTTAAAATCCTAAATACCTTTCATTACTTTTATGCTGATTAGTCCTGATTTTAATTTTAGTTTCCAAGCTCATATTCTAAGTATCTGCTCTCCATGGTCTTCCACTGAGTTTAGAGCAGAAGCCAGGTAACATCTCCTCTGCACTCAATTACAATTTTTGCTAAGTAGTAACAGAAATGTTAAGTTCTATAACCTATTGGGGAATCCAGGAGAGAAATTTAAGTCAGTTCAAATTAAATCTTTATTTTATGTGGCTTACCCAGTACTCCCAATAATTTTATCTCTTCCACATCTTCTACAGTCAGTGGAGACTATGCAAAGGAGCATGGCCCGTGCTGTGGCACAACAGAGCACTGGGACCTGCCCCACTTCTTCTGGGACTCTGTAAATAGGCAGCTACTGCCCAAGCAAGGAGAAAGGCAAGCCTTGGCTCTGGGCCCTGAACATAGGGGAGCAAAGAAAGAAATGCCCAGCTCCATTAGAATAAGAAAGAATCACAGAAATATTAAGCTAAACAGTGGTCTCAGAAGTTGGAAAGAGCCAAGCAGGCATCAGAGAGGTCAGAATTCAACATTGCTCTTACACGGGGAATAACAAAATCTTAAATTGGAATGTGAGGATACCTCCCATGAATGGATTACCAGCCATGCCAAACCCTTATCTTTCATTTATAAACAGAAGTGGGTAGGGGGGAGGAAGCGCCTGTTAATGAGAATAACCAAAAGGGAAAATAAGGGGCCACAGAAAGTCTTAAGGCTGTAAGCCAGTGACATAGAAGCACCTCTTCCTACAATGCTTGCTACAGCGCTCTAAGCTGTCTTGCTGCCATTGCAATACATCCAGGCAATGTCAAAGAATCATGCCGTAAATGAGCTACCATGATTTTGCTCTCATCGTACACCAGCAATACATAAAGCTCGACAGTCTCAGCCTAATGACAAAAATGTAGGATTTTATAAGATTCTAACTAGAAATTTAGCTATTCAAGAGGAAAAGCTTTGAGGACTGTTTTAAGAAATTATAATAAACTATTGTGACAGTCTGCAAATTTACGTGTAGGGCACACTATCAATATCCTAAACTAGGAGATTTGTAACATCTCTAGGCGAGGTTGGAAAGTAGCACCTGCATCCACAGGACACCAGCACCATCCATGGACCTCTTAAGGACCATTCTGAAAAGACTGCATCCTGAAAACTCATTGTTTTATGGCACCTGGTGCTTCTGGTTGTCACCACATCCCCCCACACCCACTACACATACACACACACCACAGAGTGCAACCTAACATTACAAAGCCACAAAGAAATCTATCGGAGAACTATTAAATAGAATGTATTTGGACCCATCAGAGCTTCAGGGTGACCCTCTTAGCCAGAGCCAACTAAAGCCATGTGGCATCTAGTGGACACTACTTTTAAAAAGGATGTCTTGTAGCTCAGATAATACAAAATACCACAGAAGGAAATGTCAACAACCCCAGTCCTTTACCTATATACATTAAGCTACTAAGGTGATACGGCCTTGGGAAAATCATATTATTGACTGGATTTTCTTCACTGTGATGGGAAAAAAAAGACTCAATATACAATGTGTAGCAAAAAAAAAAATATTTTCACTTGTATGTAGAACTCAAAATATTCTTGCAGCATATAACATTCCAAGCCATCTCCTTATATGCAAAACAGACTTTTTTAAAAATAGCAGAAAGACATTGGCAATATTCCTAAATATTTTCTGCAGATGCTAATAGTGTTTTATTCCTGTGTTGTGATTCAGATTTTAATTTTTAACACTACAGCATGTTTCTAAAATTGTTTGTACGATAAGTCATTTGTGTTTGGCCTTTTTCTTGTTGTAGGAAAATAAATCTTAAATTTTGTGTATTTGAAGTCTTAAAAGCAAAATGTTCTTCAAATAAGAGGAGACTGTCTTTGAAGAACAAGTACCTAACCAGCAGAAAAATTTTATTGTTAAAAGATGTCATCTATTTAGATTATAAATTAGGCACTAAGTGTTCAAAACATAAGGAAAATAAAACCGTAACAACCTCAGTCCAGAAGTCAGAAACAAAGTCTTCAAACAGTGCTGCTTCACAGCCCAGGAAGTTCCATCAGAGAACCCGAGAAAGAGCTGCAGAGAGGGGGAGGAGGTGGACTGAGCTGCTGGGTGTCCCAAACTCTACCCCAGGTCTGGTTCATCCAAACCAGCTCAGCTTTCATTCATTTCATAAATTGGACTTTCAGCTGAAGAAATAATGCCACTAAAGAAAACCAGAACCTTCCTGCAATAATAAATAATCTGCCTACACTCAATAGGGTCTCTGATAATTTTGAAATGTCCAAGTAACATTGTGAATCTGTTCTGGAAATTACATAACTTTCCGTAATAAAAAACAAGACTGCCATGTAATTTATACTTTTTTTTTAATCTGGTGCAGAACATTATCAGAAAACAACCTTCATTCTAGAGGGGAATCCAGAGTAGGGAAATCAGTTTGACTGTTCTCAAGGCCAACCTTGTCACAGAGTAACCTCTGGGCCACACCACCCCTGGAGCTGTAAATGTATCTACTGAAAGGCTTCTGAAAGTGCTTGTCTCCCACTACAATCAGAAAGTAACGCTAGAGATCAGCACCCCAAGGAGATGACATCTGTAGTTTTAAAAAACAAAATCAAATGGAGCTCCAGAAAGGAGATTACAGACCAATCACATGAATGGCAGGCGGCTGTCAGTTGGCCGACCCCTACCAGGTCTGAAGGGAAATCTGTCACTGGGGCCACCTCGCCCTGGCAACATGGGGTTAGGTCCTGGAAATGGGCCAATTGGATCAAAGCGTGGTCTGAGTGGAGGGAATTGGCTGGGTGTTTCCCCAGGCCCAGGGATGAGTGAATTGATTGGGTCCCCAACATAGGGAAGTGTTGGTCTTTCATCATATTCACCCCCAATAATTCCTGGAGGAAGGAGAGAATTGGGAGGAAAGGGCCTGGGATGCAAGGGGTTGGGATAGAATGGAATGGAGTGGGGTGACGAAGGCAGGAACATCACTTGTCGCCTCTGGGCTTCTTTTCTTTGTTTGTGTCTTTTCCTGTACAGCTGTAGAAAAAAAAAGAACAAGATATATATGTTTCTCCACTGTTCTAACTTGCTTTCACTGTACAGATCTATAGGCATATCTCAAAGATATTATGGGTTTGGTCCCAGACCACAGCAATAAAGCAAGTCACAGGAATTTCTTGGTTTTCCAGTGCATATAAAAGCTAAGTTTACACTATACGGGAGTCTATTAAGTGTGCAATAGCATTATGTCTAAAAAAAAAAAAAAAAAGAACATACCTTACTTATAAAATACTTTATTGCTAAAAAATGCTAACAATCATCTGACTCTTCAGCAAGTTGTAATCTTTTGCTAGTGGAAGGTCTTCCCTCAATGCTAATGGCAGCTGACTGATCAAGGGAATGGTTATTGAAGGCTGGGGTAGCCGTGGCAATTCCTTAAAATAAAGACAACAATGAAGTCTGGCACATTATCCTTTCACAAAAGATTTCTCTGTAGCATGTGATGCTGATAGCAAGTTACTCAATTTTGAACTTCTTTCAAAATTGGAGTCAATCTTCTCAAACCCTGCCTAATGCTTTATCAACTACATTTACATAACATTCTAAATCCTTTGCTGTTAATTCAACAATGTTCAAACATCTTCACCAGGAATAGATTCCATCTCAAAAAACCTTTCTTTGCTCATCTATAAGAAGTTCTCGTGGCTCACGCCTGTAATCCTAGCACCCTGGGAGGCTGAGGTGGGAGGATGGCTCAATTTCAGGAGTTCAAGACCAGGCTGAACAAGAGGGAGACCTCGTCTTCTACTAAAAATATTAAAGA